AGGCAAGTTGAGCCTGGTCTTCCGCCTGTTGCCAATAACTGTATGCCCCCCGGAAGTCGACAACGGCTCCGGAAACGCCCTCATCCCAAGCACGCGAGGGCCAAGTGGCGACGTCAAATGCGCATAAACTTCGTGCCTCTTCTTCTGTACCGGAATCGGCGTCCAAGGGGGAGGTGCAGGAAGGCAAAGGCATCAAGGGATGGAATGTTGTCACCCAAAGTTGCCCTGAGACGTCTGGGGAATAGCCTGCCGTCTCTCTTCCGCCGAGCTTCGCCGAGCCGTGCGTAACGGCGCGCCCCCACCATCACGCAACGCGTTTGATGCGGCTGTTTGGTGACGCCGTCTTCGGTCGTATTTTGACGCGTGACTGGTCTTTCTGCAAGACCGCTCCGGGTGGCGGAGGCTTCTTCCCGGCCCGCCGTCTCCGCCTCTCACGCGACTCGCCGCGCCTCTCTGGAACTAAAGCGTGCCCCTCGTTGATGGGGTTGGGCGCGGGTCGCCTCCAGCTGCTGTTTGCATCCGGCGAGCGCGTATCCCCATTCTGAAAGAAGGCCGTCGGTGACCGCAATGTCAGACTCGCGCGCCGACAAGTAATTATGCGCCTCTTCCGCCGGCAAATAAAGCTGAAAGCTTCGATTCTGCGCGTCAACGACGGCGTGGGCGCAGTCGGCCCTCCAGCGCTTCCTTTCAGCGATGATCGGCCCTTGTTGGACACCCAACTCCCGGGCCGCCCACACACGATGGGCACAAGCACTTGGGCCTCGAAATTTGGTACTTGGGGCGCCCGGGGACGCGCAGCATGTCCCGTAAGACTCGAATTCTCCCAGGGTTTGGTGGTAGATTTTAAAATCAAGCGTAACCCTGTCATGGGGGTGGCCGCAGTTAACGTCGCATCCGCAAGCCCCGGTTTCGTCAATGAATGTTAGCTGCGCCTGGATATCGCCATGCTGGCGTACCAACTCCAAATGACGGGCGTCAATGTCGCTCCGCTCGGAGGCGGTGTAAAAGGAACCAATGCCATTTCCCTAAACCAACCTCGCTGTGTCTGTGAACTTCAAAATAAAAAATAAAACATTATCCAGCCGCTATCGGCTCCCTAACCCCCTAAAGTCGTGCTCTTCCCAAAAATCATACGGTAGAAAAGGCAACATAAAGAAATGCATTCGTTTCACCAGGATACATGTATACATATATATATATATGTGTGTATATGTTAATTGAGGTAGCCAGCCCTCCCGCAATCATTCTCCTCACAAGCTCCTAAAAGTAAAAAAAAAAAAAAAAAGAAAAACATGGCAGTTAATTAGGACACTTTATCATCTGCTCAGCCTCATCGTGACGCACACTCTTCCCACAAACTTCTCAAAGTAAAAAAAAAAAAAAAATTGTAAAAACAAAAGGAACAATGATTAATTCCCCCCCCTCCCAATTCTAATGGCACAGTTTTAACAAATTAATATTCACATTCACAATGACACGTTGTTTCTCCCCCATCATTTTCCTTCCTTCTTTTTTCTTCCCACAGCCATTTTTCCGCCAGTGTAAATAGGGGAAAAGAGAGGATGCTGGTGGGAAAAAGGGCTCAGCGCCTATACGTGCGCAGCCTTAAACTGAGAGGTAGAAATAAACAAACAAAAACAAAGAATGGTGGAGCCAAATCATGCCTTCTGCTCCGCTCTTTCTGCATGATGCCTCCTTTCTCCCACAGTCGCTGCATTACCCACACATCTATTCCTTTTCTTGAATTCAAAAATCGTGGGCAAACAGGCAGGAACTGCAAGAGACACGTGAATACACATGCAAGACGGCAGAGAGGCATAAATAATAAGTAATAAAAAAAAATTTATAATATATCCCCGAGATCGTACACGGTGCTTTCTTGACTCGCTATCACCGTGGGGACCTCAGCGTTTTCGTGCTCAGAGGGAACAGTCGTGGGCATCCCATCACCCAACGTTAAATCCTGCTTCATCTGGCTGTCTTTATTGTGGATTCCATCATTCCTGTCAATTGCATACAAGGGATTGTCGTTTATCTCCCGCAATACCATGTGCGCCACCCACTTCGATTCATCGTCAACACCGCGGCAACGGTAGAAGCAGACAGTGATTAGCGCGACGGCAACAACAACCGGCAGCAATACCACAATCAAGACAACATACCAATTCTTCTGCAACCACGGGACCACTACAGCCGGTGGAAGTGTTGTAGTGCTGACGACGTACCCTTTTTGAGTCTCACAGACGACGCCAAATGAACGGTAAGGCGTGTCGATGTGGGTTTTGGGCGCAGGGTACCAATCATACCACGTTGCTTGCTCACTGTTTTCCCTTGTTTTCAGACGAAGCATTAAGAACGTCTTGCCGTGATGAGGGTAATGGTAGGGCCAATAAGCCTTGTACCCGTTCATTGGTCCCACGCCAACAAGCGTATACAGTGTGCCCCTGAAAAAAGCAACACCAAGACCATCAGCCGAGGAGTCGGCAAACGCACCTTGATTCCACTTGAAGATGCAGTTTAACGTTGGCAAGTTCAAACCTCGTCCACAACTTTTTTTGGGATCTGTTGTTGGGGTCGCTGCGTGGTCGGCGTCTCCACCCAGGTACGCATGGCTTGTGTCGTAATTATGGACTGCGGTCTTTCTCAACTCGTCCGCGATGGCCACATGTGCAGCAGGTGTTTGATCCGCAGAAAGGACGCCTCCACCCAAATGACAGACGTCATCAGAGCTAAAATAACTCACGTCACCGGCATAATTTTGAAAAAAAATAGAATTGGGGTAGTTGAAATACTTCACAATTTCAATAACCACGTGTCCTTCCTCCTCCTCCCCTGCAGCGGTAAAGGAGGGATGGCTGCCCAGGTACTGCAGCAGGAGAAACAGCACCATCCACCGGACTGCGTTCCTTGTCGCAGAGCGCGTTCGCATGCCCATTAACTCAACTTCCATAATATTACTCGTCGTGTGGGAGAGCGTGTAGGCCCGCTATTTTCGCTTTTTAGTGGCAAAGTGAAAGGAGAGACGCAACAACGGTGTGAAAAGAGTGCTCCAGGAGCGCAGGAACGCCCTGTCAAACGATCAAACATCTGGAGGGGGTCGGGGAAAATGACACGCAAAAAACAATCCCTGCGGCCTTGTGAAGGGGAAAAGGGCCCCGGCCTGCAAAGAGGCACAGAAGCACACGAGGAGGCAAAACTGCGCACGAAAAAAAAAGGACG